TTCCCTGCTGTGGTTGCTAACCTTTTTCTTTTTTTTTTTTTTGTTATGGCTTAAAAGCAAAAATAATTAAAAAAAAAAAGCATGATTCTTAGAAAATATTAAACCTTCCTTTCTTTGAAAAACAAGCTCCTTATTACAGAATATAATAAACAGTAGTGCCTGTGGTGTAGCCCACCAATCTTGATACAGTAGCTGATGCATTGTGCAAATGAGGCTTTGAGATGGTTTTTGCATAAACAAAAACTGCTAGGAGATAATCTCAATAGTTAAAAGTGTTATTTAAACCTTTGAAATAAATGGATGTAACTGTACCTGAGTACAGCTTTTCACTTGTTTAGTTCTTAAACGTTAGTATAATCAGTAAAATTTAATATAAAATGTTGCCAAATTCAATGTAGAAAGAATGTGACAAAACACTTTGGATAGTTCTATTGTTTGTGTTTTTGCATATTGTAAAAGCAGTGTCACAGCTAAAAAATAAAATGTTTCTAATGGTAAATTATTGTGGTTTAGTTGCTAGTTTGTACTGAGAGTTGACCTCTCCCTGTGCAGTTTTTTTGTTCTAAACTGGTATAAATAATTGCTGTAAGTGTGTCTCCCTTCTACATTGTAATGATTGCTTAAGCCTACATTATAAATAAAGAACTGCTGGAAAACTTCTGTATTTCAGTTCTTGAAGACTCTCTGCTTCCGGAGCGTTGGGTGTCAGTGGTGTCCATCAGGCTGAAGGTCACACAGGTTCCATCTGCGTGTGTTACACCAGCAAGAGAGAGTTAACAAGTAAATAAGATCTCACATAGGTAGGTTTTACTGACGCTGTTAGAAGGGCAGTAGCAGAACAGAGGTAAGGAGGGAAATTCCCCTTCAATAACAGCTGGTGCTGTTCTCCACCCCTCACTGCTCTCACCTGCCCGGGAGGTAACCCGAGTGCTCACACATCTGCTTCAGTGCTGGGACCTTTCCCAGAGAAGGAAAGTTGTTGCTGCTGCCACCGTGGCTCGTTCTCACAGCCAGGGTTTATCCAGCACGACACCGGGGCCTCCCACGTGCCCCTGAGTGACCATGGACTTTATTTTGTCCAGCTTCTTCAGGAACAAGGGTGGAGAGGCAGGACACTGCTCCCACCTGCCACACAGCAACCTTATTTATTTCCTTGCCACTGCAGTAAGAGCCATTTTTGTCCAGAGGCTTCCATTTGTCACCAAGACATTAAAGGAAAACTCAAGGTGGTTTGGCTGGAAAAATGACCTGTCTCCAAAAACATTCTGGTTTCATTCCCCATCTGCCTGTGACTGCCTATGGCCGGGCTCCCTCATTTTGAAGGGCATCCCAGCTGTTTCTACAGCAAAGCCCATTCTCTTGCAGGTGCAGAATGGTTCTTGACTTGTCTCATGGGGTCATGGAATGGTCAGAGTTGGAAGGGACCTTAAAGATCAAGTTCCAAGCCCCCTGCCATGGGCAGGGACACCTCCCACTAGAGCAGGTTGCTCAAAGCCCCATCCAGCCTGGCCTTGGACACATCCAGGGATGGGGCAGCCACAAATGGGGTCGTTGTGTTTTTAATACTGGGATATGGGGTATCCATCATGTTAAGGAATGTCACTCAGACCCACTCAGCTGTTTGTGAAAATCAGGAGTGATGTTATTGCCCTGTTTTCTAGCAAAAAAAGACATGGCTGGTTGGGCTGAGTGGGAGGGAGGGTGCAAAACGGCACATAATTAAAAAAAATGAGTGTTTGCAGAATTTCTGAATACAGTTACCAGCCAAGCAAAGCCCAGGAACAGGGGTTTGCTGGCAGGTGAGGGGGTGGGGTTTGTAAGTTTATATTTGCCTGAAGAGAGGTTAAGACCCACTGGGTGTGATCCCACTGCCCGCTCCGACCAGCTGCGCTCCAGAACCAGCACTCACCCCAGTGCAGCTGCAGGTACAGGGCTGGGGGAGATGGCAAAGCAGGCTCTGAGGAGCTGGGTTTGCCCCCAGGTGGTATATTTCTCCTGTGAATTTTACCCCTTTTGGCCTTTCACATTCTGGCTGATGCACTTGGCTGCTAAGGCAGCACTGGTGCTGGTGGAGCAGCCCCTGTGTTAGAAACCTGTAACAGGTTAAAAAAGGGGCAGAATTCAGTAAAAACAAGTACCTTCAGTATTAGAAAGCAGCAGGGAAAGCGCCGGTGCCTGAGCAGAGAGAGGACGTGGTGCTGTGCTGAGCAGGTCAACAGGCTGGAGGCAAGGGGCTGCTGGAAGAGGGTGTTTCAGGTATATAGTGCAGACATTTAGGTACGTAGGGTAGATGTTACACTCATCTATTCCACTCTGCACAGACTGGAAGTGCCTGCATGCTAAAGAACAGAATGCCAAAAAAATGCCTTCTCTTTTATTTTATTCAGCTTTATTTTGTATCAGAGTAGCACGCGGTCACTGACACGCCCACAGAGGCCAGACCGCTGCAATTCTCACATGAAGTGATGCTTTTACATGGGAATCTCACGAGGCCGTGTGACATACTGCCACCAGAGTGGTGGCAGATGCCCTTGCTTACGAGCTGGAGGCAAAGCTTCAGTTCTTGGACCATCAGCTGGAGTTTCTTCTTCTAACTGCTTCAGCTAGAAGACAAGACATAAAACTGCTTTAGTACATGTAAGCACATTTCCATCAGGTGTTCAGTGCCCAGGTGGAAAGCAAAACTGGCCCCATTTCAGAAGGGGAGAACCAGCAGTAACACCTTTAGCAGACAGACAACTTTTCTGTTTCTCAGTATTCACTTGACCTCAGTAATCATTGCAGGCTCACATTACCTAATTAAGAAGGAATTTTTAGGAATAAAGAGTGGCTTACAAGAGAATTTTTTACTGAAAAGATCATTACTTCCAAGTAACTAATGTGTACCATTGCTGCATTAAACTGACAGCATTCTCTTGCTGCTTTCAAAGCTGCCAAATAATTACAAGCCCCAAACACCTTCCACTCAGCCAGCAGGAGACCTCTCTCTCTGCCACCAACAGCCCTTTACATGCTCTCAATACACATTTCTCGAAGCAGCCTAAGTGCTGGCTGCCACTATGGTAATTCTGACACAAGCCCCACACTACATACAATCCAACTATTTCTCTGCAACCAAATTAAAGAACTGTTCTGCTCCTAAACTGAGATTCAGTTGGAAAAAGTTGATGTTGGCCAGAAGTAATTGACTCCCAACTGATGAACACTGTAGTAAGTCACTTTCAAAGGTACAGTCAAGTGTCAGAGCTGCACAGCAGATGAGGGACTCTCTGGCCATTAATCTCTTCTCATCCCACTTCAGAGCCTCCCTTAGCAAACAGCCCTGCATTAACTGAAACATGGCTGCAGCTTCACCTTTAATTTCAAACTCCCTTCACAGCCTTTAAGAAGCTGTAGCTCTGAGATCTCTGTGAAGACATTTTAGTCAAGTCAGTTTCACACTGACAAGAGTTCTAACAAAGCAGAGTTTAAAGGAGACCGCAGTGGGCATTCCATTATTTTTCCAGAACACATCTACGCGTCACACAAAATACCTGTGTGCTAAAGAGACTGTCCTTTGCATCGAGCAAGCACTGACCTCTTTATCCCAGCTCTCCCGCTGCAGCTTCTTCCATTGCTCTCGTTTGGCAAAGTAATCAGGATACATCGCCTTCTCAGAAGGATGCCAGAAATCCAAGGCCCATTCAGGAATCTATTAAAAAAAACGTTTCACATCTATTATTTTTACATAGTAAATCACGTATAGTACACACACGTAAGAACTAAACACTGAAGCCAGTATTAAAATGGATAAATAACCCAGGAAATAAAACCCCCCATTTAAGGGCTACCTGACTATCGTTAGTCTCAAGGCACCCATACGGCAGGGGTCGGGACATTTCATCTTTGTTTCACACATTATTTTCCCCTAAGTCAGAGGAAGACACCACAGTGACTTGTTTAAATCAGAGCATCCTGATGACAAGTCCCAGGTCATCTCAGTTCAATCTAAAGTTCTCAAAACAATTCCATCTGGTGGAAGAGAAGATCTCATTTCTTCCCTTCCTTCTCCCAAAGGCAGAAGGTTAGAGAGATCCTTTTACTCCAACTACTAATTAATTTTCTTTAACAGACACAGAACCTTACAGCTCATTTCCACTTGTCTACAACTACTGAAAAAAAATTACTGGCCTTTAAGATCCTGATAATGGTCTGACCTCTAAGATATCCAGTCAAGAAAAAAAAAGCAAAATTTAAAATTTTGCAGCAGCATTTCACTGAATGTTAACATTTTAAAGACAGAAACATAGATTTAAAAAAAAAAAATCAAAACCCCACCCAATTCTCAAAAAAAGAAAATTTAGAAGTTGTTCAAATATCATCATTCACCCAGTGACATTTACACTTCCAGTTTCCTGCTGTGATTCTCATCACCGAGTAAACCCTTGACTGAAGAGAAAAAGCAGAGCTGCTGCTAGTAATATAAAAAAATCCACATGCATCAAACAACAATTAAAAGCAGGAAACAGGCTGAGATCTGAAAGTTACATTTTGTAGCAGCATCCACAATGAACAGTGACTGATACTCAACAGCCCAAATCCTTGGGACAGCCATTTTGTTACAGCACAGTTTCAGCACATCAAACAGGTCAAAGAAAAGAGAACATAAACCAGTTTATGTGTCTATAGGAAGAAATAATCTTGACTCAACTGGCCTTTTTCCTGTCCAGATTCTCTCACACTATTATCCCTATTACTCCTAAGGCCCCTGGCCTTGGCGTGAACTTAACTCTTCTGCCCTTTTCACTCGTATGTTCTCTGATAAATCTAGATTCTGCCTTTCACATGGCTTCTTGTGTGTAAAGATCTGACCAGATCTAGTCTTCTGTAAGCACTTTCTTCAAATTCAGAAGAAAATGGGTGCATGCACTCTCTAGGTTAATATTTACTCCCCATAATGCATTAGAAGCCTACGCCAAGTAAGCAAAACCCCTGTGTTTTCCTATGAAACCTGTTTCTTTACTCCTAAATAGATCAATTTAGGGGAAAAAAAGCCTCTACAAGTACCTTAGATTCCAAGAACACAGCTTCTATTTTTAGGCATACCACCTACCACGTAGCAACACAAAAATACATATCTAGCACTACAGCATATGAAGCAAAATGGTAATTTGTACCATTACTCAAAATGCTGAAAGAACAATGGGAGCAAGTGAAGAGGAGTCCCCCAACAGCCAAGCCAACATCTGCCAAGACCAGAGAGAAACCAGATGGCACCACAAAGGGTAGCTCAGCTTCCTCCACCTTGTTTACTCTCACAGCTCAGCTTCCCTTCGGCAACAAAACAGATGATTATCGCAGCAAGAAGAAGCTAACTGTCTTGAGATGGACCAGCATATTCTATTTTCAAGGACCAGACAAGCAGGACAGTTCCTTTCACGTAAACAGCAAGATGTTCAGCAGTAGGAAATTATTAAAGAAACAATACTGCAGAGTCTACCTGCAGCCATATGAAAATCTACTTAAAATACTCACTCTCCATTTACTAAAAAGAGTATGATGCACAACCTTAGAGGACACCTTACCTTGTAGCATTCATATCTCTCATAGGAAGTGCCCCCAGGGGAGTCAGGGAAGATGTACGGCTGAGGATGCTGGTTTGCCCAGAACTCCTCCTCGCCTGCCTTCAGTAGCTCTGTGGCTTTCACCATATCCTTCACATCCTTGTTCTTATCAAATCGGTCTCTCAGGATGCAGGCAAAGTAGCGGTACTTGTCCCTATGGGCAGAGGTTAAGCACAGTGATGTACACTGAAGAAAAAGACTAAGCACACACAGAAGCAAAGCTTGGAAACACCACCAGTCCCCCGTGCCCAAAGACAGGGCCCTCTAAGGAGCTCCTATTCACACACTGCCCTCTTCTGCAGCAGTGACCCTGGAGGCTTTTTCCTCACCCCTTCAACCACGCTTGGGGGAAAGAAAAAGGGGGGAAAGAGAAGAGGACAACGCCCCAGTCGAGCCCAAGGCCCCGTCTCAGCGGGGAAGCCGAGCAGAGCCGAGCAGGCCAGCCCCCCCCCCACAAACGCGAAGCTGAGAGGCGCCGCTCCCAGTAAGAACAGGCCTCTCCCCTGTCCCCAGGCCCCCTTCCCTCCCTCTCTCACCGGTAGATGCACCAGGACTCCAGGTGCCGCAGGGATTTCTTATAGAGCCGCAGCACCTTCTGCTGGTGCGTCAGGTAGGCCGCCATGTCGGGCTGCCCTACCCTTCACCTTCTCGCGCGCGGGGGCTGACGGGAAGGTGGAGGACGCCGCCGCCGCGCGCAGGCGCCGCCGCTCGCGCTCCGGCAGCCGCCGCCGCCGCCATGAGCCGCGCCAAGTTCATCGGTGAGGGGAGAGCGGGGCCGGGAGGGGGGCGGTGGGGCTGCGTCCTCGGCTCGTCCCGGGTCCCTCCATACCTCCCCCAGCGCCGGGCTCGAGGCAGCCGCCGCCCTCTCCGGTGCCCGCCCTGAGGGGCCGATGGCGGGGGGCGTGGGCCGCTCCCCTGACAGGGCCTGCCCCTCCTCATCCAGGGCTCGCCACCTTCGGCAGCCCCAGCCGCTGTCTCCAGGGCCCGGGGGCAGCCTGACTTTGCACCTGCGAGAAGCTTTTAGGGGTGTTTCTGCTGTCGGGGGGTGCTCCACGAAGAGCACTGAGGGGCTGCTGTGCAGCCTCTGGAAGTTATCCCTGAACTCTGGGGTTTCTGACAGGTCTTCATCCCGGTCCTTCGCACTGCCATGTTAGTCGTGGTTGTTTCTCACCATGATTTGTCCGGAATTGGCTTAGATGTAAATATTAACGTTCTTGGGGAATTGGGCAGGAAGTATGTAAATAACGATAGAAGGTCGGTTGTTGGGATGGATGTTTTTTATGTGTGGCTGGGCAGCCTAAGATTACCTTGGAAATGTTGCCTTCCCGCTAGCAAACCTGCCAGAAACACGCTCTCCGGCAGCTACGGAGGTGGTTGTTGCTGAAGCCTGTGCTTCAGCCCTTGTCTGCTGGGCTGCAGCGCAGGGAAAGGCTCGGGAGCCAAGGAAAGGAGGATGCACTGGGGCTGCCTGGGTGGGTGACTGCATTGCAGGCTCTCGTGTTTGTGCTGCTGGCCAGCCTGGATCCTGCGGGCAGCAGGGGGGGAAACGGGCACGTTTATGAGTCAGTCTGCTGCTGCTCCTGCCCAGGCTAAGGGTGTACGTGAGGGGCTGTGTTTTTCCTTCCCTGTTACTGCTTATTGGCAGAGATAAATCTGTATTTCCACGTGAAAAACAGAATTAATTGCAATAAACAATACACGTGTATTAGCTCTGGTGATTCTAAGGGTGTGTCTTGTACACTTACAGAGTAAGTCAAGAGTTGCACAGAGGGCAGTTCTAGTAAGCAGTAAGCTCTCAAGTTATGCAAGTTAACTTATGCTTAAGCTTTATATGGCCTGTCAGTCTGGTAGTTGGGGACTACTAGGATGTGGTTTCCATTGTATTCCCTAGTTGACTAATGCTCAGAATAAAATGTAGAGTAACTATAACATCTACTTTCTATATTATTTTTTTCTTCATAGATATTGGTATTAACCTGACAGATCCTATGTTCAGAGGAATCTACAGAGGAACACAAAAACATCAAGGTAAATGTTTCTTTGTGTCTGCTGAAAGACAGAATTCCTCTTGTTAAAACAGAAGCATCTTCTCAGAAAGTGAGGTTAGAATTTTTTTTTCCTCCTCAGAAACTGGATGCTTAATATTTACTATGGCTTGAAGAAGAAAGTGTGATAAAACTGATTAGATGTTCTAAGCAAAATATATTCCCTTCTACTGAATTGCTATTAAGTTGTGATACAGGTAACTCTGCTTCTAGAGCAAAATGGACAATTGCTGATGTATGTTAGGATTGCATGGAAGTAACTGATCTGAGAATTATGAACAATAAACTGTCAAAGTGTTGCCTTGCTGAATCATAGTTACTAATTATAACTGATGCTTTTTTGCTCTCACGGCCTTTAGATATGGATGGAAAAATAGAAAGTATGTGAAAAATGTTAACTTCTTGTATTTAAATTGGATCTTCATTTACTGCATTTTGTTACTGTCTACTAAATATTAATCAACTGTGGTTTAAAAATTGTTCATGATAGGCATTTTGACTGCATGAAAGTGTTTTTTAGTTGAAAGGTAGTTAAATTATGCTGTAAAATCGAGTTCAATTTATAACATTTTTATGAACTTTCACAGATGATTTCTTGGACGTGGTAGAGAGAGCAGTCAAAGTTGGTGTTAAAAAGGTAATTTCTTCTAATAAAATTTCTCTAATTTCTTAAACTGCTTTCTAATATTTTACTTTTTAGTAGTCAGTATAAAAGTTTCTGGAACTTGCAATGGAAAATGCAGTAACTTTCTTCAGTAGCATAAAGCAAAAGTGTTCTGTGCAGAGCATTGTCTTTGATTTGCATAGGTCATTAGATGCTGATTATTTAAGGTCAGTGGTTTCATATGTGATATGTATGTAGAATTCCCTTTGTACCATTTCAACAGAAAGATGTCTGACCTATTGCAATCAAGTAGTTCATAATTTTCCATGTTAGTTGTATTATAGGCAGCCTATAATCTATCTTCTATTCCTATTCCTATCTTCTTGTAACCCGAGTGACTCACACAGCTACCACTACAGATCAAAACTCAAACTCTTCTGATAGTGGTTCTTCAGATATGTCTATATGTAAAGGAAATCAGTAATAGTGGAAGAGCTGGGAGTGCCCATACATTTTTATAGTTGAGACACCTGAATTTCTGCTTGTAAATACGTGTGTTAAAACTGTATCGTTATGAGCAGGTTAGTAATTTTTAGCTTGAAGTTGGTGTTTTCAGCAGTGGACCATGCCCCTTTAGTTTTATAACGGTCCAGCCTCCTTGTATCTCTCTCTCTAAATGGAATAAATTGTCAAGACAAAAAATACAAATTCAAATAGAATACAGTGCACACTGTCACAACCTGTTTTACTGCACTAATGAGGCTGGTGGATTAGAAGTAAAGAAATAAACTTTCCTCTAGAAGAGTAACAACCATCTCAGAAGCTTGCTGAAAGACTCTCATCTGAAAAAATTGGGAAATAAACTGGGAGACAAAAAAGCCCAAACAGAATCGTAGTCACTTTTTCTGCATTTACATGTGCTGTATAGGTATTATTTAATCTTTATACCAGCCTCTGAAAGTAAGTGGCAATTTGCCTATTTTATCATCAAAAATAGATTGGATGCATAATTTTTTCAAGATGCACAGTGGATTCAGAAATGGAATTCAGGAGTTCCCTGTCCTTAGCTATGTTTTCAGTCTTACTGCTGGCCTGTACGGTGTCAGAAGCCCACTCCATCCCAAATTGTTTCTACTTGCCTAGAAGACTAATCTGTTTATTTGAAAATACTTATATTTTTCCGTATAGCTGCTGGTTTATAGAAGTTTTTTGTGAGGTTTTGCCCTGTGCTGTATGTACACTGAGACGGTGTCATCTTAACTTACTTTTCTAGTGATGCTGTTGGGATGGGTGGGTCTCTCATAGAGCATACTGTGTACGGGCCTGACTTGGTGCTGGCTGAGTCTGGGGTGTAGCATGTGTAGGGGTAAGAGTCATCTAAAAGCAGCATAGTCATGATTTATTAGGACCTAGGGCTCAAGATCCTGGAAGCAGTGGTTCAAAAAAAATCACTGTAAGCAACAATTCTGGTGAGAAAACCTTTGATTTTAAGGTAAAAATGAAAGACTGGAACCCAACTTTGTAATCTCAACTTTGTTGGTTTATCTACTTACGTCTTGTTTTGGGTATCTGGGAGTTTGTAGTTTCCCAACTGTAAGATAGGGATAATGTTTCTGAATATAATTTCTTGAATGTAAATAAAGTTTTTTGAACCATTGTCTAATGAAGTTAATATTGCTGCAAATGGAAGTGTTTTACTCATTTAATGGTTTAAATGCTTAGCATAGAAGATAATTAATAAGGAAATAAATCAAGTTTTCATACCTACTGTATTTACTAGCTGCTGGGGACCATTGAGGTTTGTCTGAATTATGAAATTTTGTCATATATACATTAGTAATTGTCTTCTGCTGTTCTCTGTCTAGATTCTTACTTACATCTGAGTGCTTTCTTAAACATTCTGTTTGATGTTCAAAGAAGAACATACTTGCTGACAGTACTTTTCTTCTTTCAAGTTTTTGATTACAGGTGGGAGTCTGCAAGACAGTAAAGATGCGGTGCAGCTGGCACAGACAAACGGTATTTGCACCTTTAAACTTATGTTGTCAGTCAAAAATATAACCTTCTCCACTCTCAGAATCAAGATTTCAAAAGCACCTGCCCCTAGAGGTGTTTACAGAATCCCAGACCAAAATGGGAAATTAGGTTTCAGAATGGGATGGATGCATTGTGTATGAGTTTCTGTACGTTGCCCTTTAGATCCCTGTGTGTTGGAAGGAATTAGTCTATCCTGTAGTTTCTGTTTCTAGATAAAATTAGAAATTACAGGAGGTTTCTGGAATAAAAATTTTGTTGCAATGCTCTCTTCTAGAAATAAGATGGAATGCTTATAAGGTGTGGACTATATGTTTTTGGTGGGTTTTTGTTTGGTTTTTACTCACCAATCTATCATGACCAGCTTGAACAGGGGAGGTATCTTTCTCTTGATGGTTCTCCTAGCTTCCCCTTACCTTCTGTGAAAAGGCAGATACCATTCCTCTAATTCCTTAAATATGTATTTGAACTGAAACACATGTTAAAGTACTATTTACGAACAGAACCGTAGAATAATTTACATTGGAATGAACCTGAGAGGGTCATCTGGCCCAACCCAATCCACCTCCCCACCTCCATCAAAGCAGGACTAGCTTTAATATTAGGTCAAGTTGCTCGGGGCCTTATATAGTCTTTCCCTCCCTTCCATGATTTTACATCCTCCATAAAAGCACTTAACAGAAATGTTGGTTTTGGTAATTGAGATTGGATACTTGGGTAAATCAGGCTAGATGTGAAATTGTGTACCAGTTGATGTAGAGGCACACAAGAGAAATTGAGTGGTGTCTGCAAATCTTGCAGCTGAGGAAAACCTGATGCTTTTTGAACGAGATGTATTTCTAGATGATCTCAAGAGGTCTCTTCCAACCTCAACAATTGTATGATTTGTTGAGAGCTGCTCCACCAGAATAATTCAGCTTTGAGTTGCAGTTTTGGAGTTTACTAAATAATGTGGTGGACTTGGCAGTGTCAGCTTTACGGTTGGAGTTGATGATCTTAAAGGTCTTTTCCAACCTAAATGATTCTATGTGTACTCAAAAAGAAACACACACACCCACTGGAGATACTGTCTAGCATTGTTAAAGCAGAAAATATCAATGTAATAAAATCATCACCAAGATAAAGACATTCAAAGGGAGTTTTCTTTTAAAATTATGAGGAATAAAAAAGTCCAGATACAGTTACTGTCTATACCTTATATAATTTTTCTTCTTTTTTTTTTTTCTTTTTTCTTAAAACCTTCTAATATTATCTTGCTTTAGACATGTTTTACAGTACAGTTGGCTGTCATCCTACCCGCTGTGGAGAGTTTGAGCAGAGTAGCCCTGAACAGTATTTATCTGAATTAAAAAAGCTGATTGAAAAAAATAAGACAAAGGTAATAGCAGTTGGAGAATGTGGTTTAGGTAAGTGTCATCTTAGTACTTCAGTATTTTTCCTAGACATACATTAAAAAACCCTAAAACACTAAGTGCGTTCTTTGTTCCTTCTATTTGTAGATTTTGATAGATTAGAATTTTGCCCAAAGGACATCCAACTCAAGTAAGAAACTTTTGATGACTATAAATTGACTTGTAGCAATTTCCAGGAGTGTTTTCTACCACGTAACATTTTTTTCAGCCATAGGCATGCAATTTGCAGGGTTGGGTCTAGGGGTTTTTGACAGAAATGTGACTTTAAAGAAAGATGCCTGTAGTCAAGTAGTGCTACGTGCTAAATTTTGCTGCCTGTCTAGTGTTGATTTAGCATATATTTTTCTGTAAAATTGATCGCAATTTGTGGGTGTCTGGGAATGACAGATGTTCGTTCTTGCTAATACTCAAGAACTTAGACACTCATGGGGAGAATAACATCACTGTTGTGAGTGAAAGAACTGGGGTTTTGAGTAAAAGGCATGGGAAAGGGAACAGAACTGTCAAAAAAGATAAGTCACGGGACAAAAACAAACTTCTAGTAAGAGTCATGTTAGCTGGGAGCAGATAATTGAGAACTGATGAAATAGGTAATCTTGGGAGCTGGAGAGATCTGTGTGTTGAAGTAACATATGCAGTGTAGATGGTGAACAGAAGGAAGGTAGCACAGCCCCTAAAACCAGCTCACATTCTTGTACTGAGAACTTCTGTCTACAGAGGCAACCAGCTGATGTAAGTGATAAATTCAAATAAGATGGGTGATGGATGAATTGTGCTTGCATATTACTGTTCTGAGTAAATGAGTCAGTGGGGGGCACAGGTTAGTTGTGTTTTTTCTAATTGTCACATAGCAGTCAGTAGAGTTAATTTCTGCATAATCCTACAGTCATACAGCCAAAAATTCAGCAGAGTGGACTTTTTTCCCAGTAGAATTCAGTGTACACAAAATTCAGCAAAGCACACCTTGGAGCATCACCTCTTTTCCTGTGGCAAACTAAAACACTAATGGAGTGTCATATTTTAAGATCCTTACTGCCTTTATGTAAAAAAAAAGGAAAATCAGATTTATTTTTTTTATCTGATGATCTGCAGCTGAAGATCTGTAGTGAAAAACTTCTAATTGGGTGCACTGAAATTGAGTTGAGAGGGAAGAGGTGATGGGGTGGAACAGAAATCGCTTTTAAAGTGGTAGATGAGTCCTTTCTACTTAAGGTTAGTAATGATAGAAACTCTTTGTCTGAGCTGTTTCAGTCAATCATGTGAAATACATAAATCAATTTTCTGAGACATCTATTGAGAGCCCTGGCTGGAAATTACAGTTGGAAGGAGGTGATTGATGAAAAAAACAGAAAGCAAGAAATATGAGGGAGTGAAGAAATATTGAAAGCCTCAAGGACAGATGCCTGCAAGTGTCATGTTTGTAAATTCTGTATTTTCTAAATGGACAGCTTTGCCTGCTCTTCATCCTCCATGTATTTGTGAGACATGGTCAAGGTTTGGGGTTGTTTTTGTTTTTGCTCGTTGAATGTTATGGAGTTGGAGACAGTCTGGCTTTTGTAACCTTTAGCGGACGGGATGGTGAGTTCTTCAAATGAATATTCAGTGTATGCTTGAGAAATGAACTGAAAAAAGAAAGGCAAAGTGTGCAATGCGTGGAGGCAGTTACCACTTTTCAGCTGATCTGTAGTTCAGGTGCTGGCAGGCACTGGGCCAGCTTGCAGGCAGCCCCAGTTACTGTGCAGAAGGGAAGTGTGGCAGTTTCCCAGTGGGTAGGATCTCGGCGTGTCCTCCGTTTTGTTTAATGTTTAATCATTATTTTCTAGTTAGTTATACTGTGTTTTCTTCTGGGTAATTTTTACCTGTGAAAAATGAACGCTATTTTTATCCTGTTGCTTGGATTGAGAAGCTAATAAAGATGAAATTCCTTTGTTGAAGGAGATCTAAGTTTGTCAGAATTTTTCTCCAGTCTCATGACTTTTCCAACAGAAAATGGTGATTGGAATGGGAGTTAGATGAAGGTTAGATGCCTTCATATTAAGGTGAAGGTCATATTATAAATGGACTGATGAGAATATAGAAGTTTTGCTTTTGCTGTACTGCTGGGGAGAGGAGGAGTCAGGAGGCTCAGCAACACAGGAAACAGGAGTTCTCTTAACCAAATTGGAAGGGGGTGAATAAAATCACATGCTCTGTTGTTATTCATACATGAATCCAGAATTGTTTGGCTGGAGATGTTCTGCCTCAGCAAGGCCAGTTTGCTTCAGCTCCTTTAGTGCCCTGATCCCAAACCTGAAAATACCACTGCATTTGAACTTTATGGTCTAAACTAAACCTCTAAACAACCTACAGGAATACTTTAAAACTTCCTTATTGAGAAGCAACATAGAAACAGCACATATTGCATGAGAGTCCATTCACCTGAAAGGAAAAGCCCTGGAACTAGCAAAGTTGGGTTTCCTACTGGCTTTTGTTACCATTCTGATCACCACGTGCCTGGTTCACAGTGTTCCAGCGTTTCTTTTTCCATTTTTTTTTTCGTTTTCCTCCTCCAATAAATTCCCTATCCACCTCCCCTTCCTCTTTGACAGGGAAGATAGCAGCGTGTCTTGGGCTTCATTGTTCCTACAAATGGAAGAAGCTTGAGTTTTCTTTCATTTGTAGAGACACTAAACTTTGCTTTTTCAAGACCACTTCTCACAAATAGATTGAAATTAGCCAGTAGGTTACTTAGGGGTTTTATTTGCAGCTCAGTCTCTAAAATCTCATTCCTATGTGAAACAAGGCTTCTGTTGAAAAAAAAAACCCACCAACAATCAAGCAGTTGCAGCTATTTAACTGCAAGAGCAATCATGAGTTGCAATTAAATTTATATTTAGTCAAACAAGCTAGACTAAGCACAGTATCTAGACTACAAAGAAGATTCAAAGTAGGTGTAATTCATTCTCCTTTAACTTTCATGTCAGTTTTTAACATTACAGCCGATTTCTGTTCCCCCTGTTTTATCATAAAGATTTGCACTGATAAACATGGAAGGTGACTTTTATCAGAGAAATATCAACCTGTAATATACAGAAAACAGTGAAAATGGCACAAAACAAAATGATCAGTTGCATTGTCTTTTTTTTTTAAGAAAAAGTAAATCAAACTAATTGTTTGCAGCCATGTTCTGTGAATCATTCAAAGCAGTATGTGGACACTTGAGTTTGCCTTTGAAATGTTTCTAATATTTGATGATGGGAATGCCCCAGTGCCCTGAACTGCTTTTAACAGCAACACCTGATGAAATCCAGTAGATGCACACGCTCCCAGCCTGCTGGGACTGGCTGTGGTGTTCTTCTGCCTTGCCCAAATAATGCCACCTTTCACATTACGTATGGATACTATGCACTGTTGGCCTTCTGCCATGCATAAGTTCCTCTCATGTTTCCCGAGCATTGATAAGTTGCATGCCTGGGTGCAGCGTGGCAGACAGAAATGGTAAATTATAATGCTTTGGGATCAGAACTAGCTGCAAATGACAAGTGACAGGTTAGTTCAGTGCTAATTAGTTTCCTTTGGAAACAGCACCGGGGAAACTGGTACCTTCCCTCTGCCCGTGTGTTTATGTCTCTTCATAGGCTGGCTGCCTCGCTGCTGCTGCTGCTGCTTCAAGGGCAATACTAGGAGTAGAAGGTAGGAGAGGGATAAAAATAAGCAAGAAGGAAAGGATTCAGGCACACAAAGGAGGGAGAACTGGAAGACTTTGAAAGAGCGAAGACAATAGGGAGAATGGGACAGAAGTAAGGTGACTAATATTGGTGCTTCTTCTGCCCTGGGAGAGGGAAGACTGGCCTTCATGGAAGAGCAAACACAGCCTGGATTGCTGCTTCACAGGGCAGGCAGCTGATGCTGGCCAGTCGGGGCCGTTGGAGGCTCTGAAAGTCTGCATAGTGCTCCCTCGCCGCATTTACAAGTGCTTCTTGGAATGGTGGTCTCTGTGTGATCCACACTCTCCCTTCCTGACGTTTCAAAACTTGTGGAGAGAACAGTCAGTTCCTCTTTCATTAAAAATAAACTCCAACACCCGCAGCACACCAGGTTCCATGTTTTGCATACATACGCCTGCATTCTCCCAGAATTGGTGCTCTGGGCCACTTCTGATCTCTCATCCAGCACAGATGATGCTATGTTAATATACCATGGGAAGGAGTTCCTTTTAATTCTTTGCACAAATAGCAGCTTTTGCATGGCAAATCCATTAAATTGGGCTTTAATTCAGGAGGACAAAAACATACAAGAGCTGGGAAAAAGTCTTATGTCTTTAATTGCTTTTGCATTGAATTTCTGTTTAAAAGCGGTTTTTATTTAACAGGTATTTTGAAAAACAATTTGAGCTGTCAGAACAGACACAACTGCCCATGTTTCTCCACTGTAGGAACTCACACGCTGAATTTTTAGGTGAGTTTTGCTGGAGAATTTCATATTCCAAGCAAATGCTGAATATGAAAAATCTGGAAACCTGAATCTTTCACCTTTGTCTGTTATAAATCTGTCTTACATTTTGATTTATTTCATTTCACAGACATAATGAGAAGAAACCGTGATAGATGTGTAGGAGGGGTGGTAAGTATGGAATTCAGCGTAGCATTCATTTTTACATGCTTATGTGTGAATATTGTTGCTTAATAATGCAACTTCATGTTTGTCATGGAATCTGGGTGAGCTTCCTGTTACAGGATTTAAGTTGTTATTAATTAATAAGTATTTTCCAGTCCTTTCTAGTATTTTTACTTTAGCTGCTTATTCAACACATTTTTTGCAAGGTAAGAAGATAGGCTGAGAAAAAGCTCTCCTGCTGACATGAGCAGATTTTCTTGGCCTGTCAGAAGGACAGTTTAAGCACCTTATAATTGACGTTGGCCTTTTCCCAATTCTTCAGTGTCTGTAACTGCAGCACATTCACACCACAGATAATTTAGATGCGTGTTCCCAGTGGAAGCCACAACCTCAAACGCTTGCTTCTGACGTCAGACATCCTTTTCAGATCAGATCCAGATGTAACCTCTGATTGCTTTATGTCTTTAGATATTCAGATTGTGTATTTTAATTCAAAAGCGAAACAGGAAAAACTTTGTATGAAATGAGTAAGAAAGTCCAGCAAACACTCTTTCAGGTTTCCATTATGGCAGGGTTTTGCCAAAGTAATAAATGCTTGGATTATTCTATTCTATTCTACTAACATCAGACCACACCTCCTACAAAAAATTAGTGTAGGTTTTGCTTTTGTTAGTGCAAAACCCTTCCCTGAGGTCGGTGCTTTGCCTGCTGTGCTCTTAGGTAATTCTGTACAGTCTCTCCTTCCTTTCTCTTTTCTGCCAAACCAGTACCCAGCAGAGCAGTGACGAGCAGGCACCCTCTGCAGCCGACTGTCCCCTGCCCAGCGTGGGGAAGCAGCCCCTTTGCTCCACACAGGCTGGGACGCTGTGGTTCCCAGATACGTGATGCTGTTTGTGACCTGGCACTTGCCCCTTTAGACCCTGGATGAGCACAGACTGTCTCTCTCTAGTTCCTGTGGACTAAAATCCATGGAGAATGTAACACTGCTCATGCCCTCTCCCTGACAGCACCCCATAGGGAATACCGAGGAGAGACTGTAAAAATTCAGCATGCACAGGATTAGTTCCTCTGTGTGGGCTCCCAGCTCTCAGCTACAGGAGTTCCTGGGCCAAAAGCAGCATCACTGGATGGGCCTTTTCTACACATACGTATCACTAATAAAACGTGGTCACCTCTTCAGGCTTCAGCCTGAACTTTGCCCACGTTCAGAATCAGCTGAGCCATGTTCCATCTTTAGGTGTGTATTGATGTGTAACGCATACTGCCAAAGGTTATTTATGACACAAATAAAACCTAGTATGTATTTTAAATGATTGGAGTTTTAAATTAAGTACAGATACATTTGTATATATGTGTGCATCTGTATTTGTGTATGTTCTAGGTACATTCGTTTGATGGCACAAAGGAAGAAGCAGCAGCTATATTAGATTTGGATCTTTATATTGGCATAAATGGCTGGTAAGTTCTTTACAGAAAATACAGCTATTTTTAAATGTCAGCTGTAGTGAACTCATTGCTTTATTTTAAACAGCTTTCAAAGCTCACTAGACTCTTAATCATCTGACAGATTTAGAATTGCACTCATTAATCTCTTAGCCATAAAAAGTTCTTAACTCAGAGCTCAGCGAGTTAATCTTGTCTTAGATCCATTCTACTACCCTCAGGTCAATCCTTGTTTGTAAATAACTAAGGTTGTTGAACGTGGAAGCAGTCCTGCAGAGAAGCATTTAAAAAATAGTGTAATTTTAAGCTGCTGTGTCGAATCCAGGAGTAACGCCCGTGGAGGCTGAGAGCCTCCGCTGCTGGTGAGGCCGTCTGGGGGCTCAGCGGTCGCCTGGCCGAGAGCCAGCCAGCACCACTGATAAACTGCATGTAGGGAAGGCTGGGCAGGGGTCTGAGCCTGCTTCACTGAGCAACTCCCCTCGTTTACCCTTTGCTGCAAAGTTGGAATTCACAGGCAGTGCTTTTTAAAAATGAAGCAAATTTTATTCACTAACAAAATTATTTAGGAAGCTGCCTCTGCTGCAAAACATTTAAACGGGCGAAGTAATTACTTTTATACCCTTTTCATTTATTTTTAACCAAACTCTTGATTTTCTAGCTCATTGAAAACAGAAGCCAACTTGGAAACACTGAAATCAATTCCTAGTGAACGATTAATGATAGAGACAGGTAAGATTTTGTATCTTGGTCAGTTTGTGACTATTAGGCAAGGAGATCTGCTTGCACAGCAGTGATAACATAGAAGGAGTTCAGAGTAGAAGACGACCTAGCTGTTTCTCCACTTTGGAAAGCAGTTTACAGGCTCCAGAAATATTCCTTTTCAGTTTCTGCTGGAAGGAATACGATGCCGTGTCAGTTCCTGACATTGCAGGGGAAGCTGAGAAGGACAAATTGATGAGCCCAGATTTTTCAGTTGTACCTCGGTACACAATTGTGCTTCAGTTTCTTTTAAAATGCAAATCAGAGATGTGCCAGACACCAGGCAATGGCTATAGCTTCCCACTGGCAGCAGTAATAGCATTTGGCAACAGCAGCTCTTGAAATGGAGTAAAAGGTGGAACTTCCTTAATGGGATAACGCTTGAACTCCCCTCTTGGCCTAATGAGCAGTGATTTTAAGTGACTGACTAGGGATGCTTTTTTTTTTTTTTAATATCCATTTCAATTATCAGTAACTGGCAGTTATAAATACAGTATTTGTTTTAGTTTCTGAACCTGAGAAAGGAAAAGAACAAACTGCCTAAATGCTTAGATTTATTTGCACATGAAGTACAGAGCTGGTAAAGTACACAGAAAGTTTCTATGGGATACATGGAGTGTATCTGACTATTGTTATGTCAGAGGAAATAAGTGTTATGTACTATTATTGCTGATCTTTTAAAATGTACAACCTTGAAGGTAATAGTATAAAAAATTCAAAGACTGTGAAGATGTTAAATTGCCCAATTCTCCTAAATTCCATTTTAAATTCGAAGTCACTCTTAGAAGTAGACTGCAATAACTTGTCTGTGGAAGTAGTTGATTAACCTATCTCATGCTGTTTTCAAATGGTTGCATAGTCTTAATTCTTTTCTTTTTTTTTTTTTCAAATGAAATTAGACGCGCCTTGGTGTGGAGTGAAAAATACTCATGCCGGATCAAAGTACATTAAAACTACATTTCCTACAAAAAAGAAATGGGAAATAGGGCACTGCTTGAAGGACAGAAATGAACCCTGCCATATAATGTAAGTGTACTACTCTAGTATTATTTTAAATCTTTCAAATCTCATCCAAAAAAAGGAGAAAAAAATCAGTTCACTAGAAATGTGTATAAAATACAGTAGTATATAGGGCTTGTGGACAGTTAAAGTATAGAAACCATTTTCTGCCACCCTTTCACTTGCTTCCTTGCAGAGGCGTGAAATGCAGGGAAATATATCGTTTTAGTTCAAATGTTTAGTTGTGTCCATTAAATAGCACTGATGGATGAAATACCTTAATTTTCCCAACTGTTGCTGAAGTTTGGTCAGTGAGTTTTCTGGGTCATCTTCTCGTTACCAACTCCCTGAAAAGGAAAAAGGAATTCAGGAAAGTTTCTTCTTGCCGTGTGGTACGTGAATGATAAAGCTCAGAGCTGTACCCATCCAGATGCAAAGCCCGCTTACTTCATCAGAAGTCGTTTGGTTTTGTGTTGTGTTGTTTGTTTTTTTTGCTGAGAAGTCTGTATTACTGTGAAAAGCTGTGGAAATGACCTGTTTGGAACTAGCTTTTGAAATACTGCTCGGGATAATACTAAGGAATCTGGGTATTCAGCAAGGTGTCTAAAGAGTTAATACTTGAGAACTGAAAGGAATTCTGCTTTTTTGGGAGACCTGAACTCTTAGAGAGAGCAGACCACCGATCATGTTGAAAGCACAGTTTAAGCTCCCATGGTGACATCTCCTAGTGCTCAGATAGGTTGGGGTTTTTTTGCAGTTACATTGATTTGTAATACTTTCCGATTTTGTGTTTTAATGTGTTTGTGATTTTGGCACCTCCCAGGCCTTGGTTTGCTGCCTCAGTTGTAGTTTAGCCAAGTGTTTGAGAAGCCCCAGAACTGGAGATGCAGGCAGTCTCTCCTACAGCCATGCAAAAATGCTTTGCTTTGGCTTTTGCTTTCTTTTATAAAACAAAAATCTTGTTCAATTCAACCTTATTTCAAAATTACTGTCCCTTTAAAACATTAATTATAACCTGTACTAATTGTAGATTAGTAATCTGACAACCTCTTAAACCTCAGGAAAAATCATTTCTGGTAACCGAAAATTGATATTTTGTGACTTCTCAGGTAGCAAGATCCAGCGTGAGGGGAAAGTTATCCCCAGGCCACAAAGCGTATTTCGTTTTTAGGGTATAGATGTATATACTGCTTAATGTAGCTCAATGGGCAGGAGGAATTTTCCACTTGTCTTCTTCTGGTGGTGCTGGGCACTTCTCAATTTTGATGGTGATATTTCTACTTTACATAATATATCTTCAGAACTGCATTACTCCCCTTCAAAGCGATTTAAAAAAAAAAAATCTTGCCACAAGAGGCTGTTTTTTTCTCCCTCTTTGTGATTTCATACAGTGTTACACACAGCATCCTACCGCACCCAGGCAGGGATAGATGTCTCAGCCCTACCAAGACTCTCCAAGGGTGAAATTCTTTGGTGTTTGTTACTTACTTCTGTGTAGGCCTGATCTCACCCCATCTCATCTTGAACATCCCCTTAAATCAAGAAGCTGTTTGGCTGCAAAGCACAGGACCGGTCATGAAAAGGGCTAATTCTGCATCTAGGAAAATATTTGCATTCCAGTAATTGTTAAGACTTAACTCTTTTGCTCGAAAAGAAGTTTAGCGATTGCATAAATTAAGAGGCAAGATCCAAAATGACCAAACCCTACCATGAAGCTTGAAGTTCTTACTCTTCACCATGAAGTGTCTTTTCCTACTGTTAAAGGAAATTTAAAAAATTTAAAGAAAAAATTAAAGTATGATTTGTCTTAGGAACTCTACAGAATATTCAATTTTTTAGAACAAATGATAGAAGAATCAAGAAAATAAGTACGGAGAAAAGATTGTGGCTTGGTTTTCTGTTACTTAGTGTTAGTATTAATCACATTTCTTTTGCCTCCTTTTCCTGGCTTGTATCAAGGCTATGAGCCTTTTTAAATGCTCACTTCATATTTGCTGCAAATATCTGAATGTGTTAATCACAACTGATGTAGAGAACAGCGAAGCAGGAGTAAGTTCTTTTTGCAGCTCTATTCTCAGACAAGGCTGCATCCGGAATCTAAGCTGTGCCACAGACCAGTTTATTGACAGTGCAGCTTTAGCCTTGGAAGACTAAATTAATTTCAGCCTGAAAAATGAAGACCATCGATAAAGACACCCACAAAGTGACACTTTCTTTGAAACAGAAAGGTGTTTAATTACCTCCAAACAAGAGTCAAAAGACCAAAGATAAATCTGTACCAATGAGCAACCAGTGTTCAACGTAAAGGGAATGGCAGTCAGAGACTTAAAAGTGAAGCGATTTGCATATCTGAGCACCTTGCCCTGTTGCTCTCAGCAGATTTTTATTCCAGGTTAATCTAATGACTTGTACGTACACATGCAGCTGTCTCAAGTATATTCAGTGCTGAGTTTCCGAGTCCTCTAACATCAAATCTTTCTTTTTTAGTCAAATACTGGAAATAATGGCGGCAGTAAGAGAAGATGACCCACTTGAGTTGGCCAATACTCTATATAACAACACTATTAAAGTCTTCTTTCCAAATATATAAAGTTGTTCTTCTTAAATTTATTCAGCATAACTTCTGTAAATATATTGCAAAAAACTTAAAAATTATCCTATCTGCAAGTTCTTATCCATGGAAGCCAATATGTAGTGCACGCTTTTTTTTTTTATGGTACAAGATTAAAGCTGCTTTTGAAAAGGTGGTCTGCATTTGTACAGTTTCTCAGCCCTGTTTCCCTTGCATCAAGATTCAGGATCAATTTCAAGGAGAGCCCAAGCCAGCAGCTCTCCTTAATACCTGTAATGCCTTAAAAAGTGAGTCCCAGGCTGCCAGGTTCACAGGTGGAGCACTTCAAGCTCCTACTGGTAATTCCGCAGCGTTTAACGCATCAATGGCATGCTCTGCTGTACCAGAAAGCTTAGCAGTTTCATCTTTTGTTCCATATATGCAAATGCTATAATATTAAGTCTACCAACCTAAATTTTTATTTATTTTTATTTTTTAGAAACACACCTCACTAGTTTTTAGCAATAAAGCTCTGCTAATACTGAATTTGTAAGTAAAGCTGCTTTGGTTCAGGCTTTTCATTTCTGATTTGACCCGCTGAACAGTTTGTTTTCACCAGTATTTTTCATTTGCATCCAGCCCTCATTTGATCAGGGGTTACTGGTATACAGTCTTTGGCACAGCATTATCACTACATCAATTAAAGAGTGTTTTTCCAACCATCTTAAAAACATGTGAAAACATTTTATTCCATGTACAATAATGTACATAATTTTAAGGTGGTCATGAAAGAGACCAGCAAAAATTAGAGGTATATTTACAGTAGCACACACCACAGTAAACAACCACCATTCACAGACTCAACACTGAGATACTGCTGTTGTGCTTAAGTACAATTAACTACAAAGTGATACTTTTCATTCTGTTGTCAATTTTCAACAAATACCTCACGGCTTGGTAAAGGGCATCTTAATCACCCAGAGAGTTAGAGTCAACATTAAGAGTCTCATTCAAGTGCTGTGCCACACAGTCACTGTCTTCCTCGTCGCTATCGGAACTGTCATTATCTTCATTTAATTCATTTTCAGCATCAGCAGCTTCTTCTGCAACTTGTACAGGATTTTCATTTGGTGCCACAAACCCATTGTTGTTAGAGATATTGGCATTTTCCTTGTCCTCGATATACACTTTCTGATGGCACATGGGGCAAGTGTCCTGAATGTACAACCACTTCCGAAGACAAAGTGCATGAAAGTAATGGTTGCAGGGAGTGATGCGAGCAGAGGTGGTGAACTCATGGTAGCAGATGGCGCAGACATCGTCTATTTCCTGTAACCGGCTTCCTTTTACCTCTGGAAGGGAGTTTATTTTCTTAACGGCAGTCCGGCGGTTTATAAAAGTCTTCCAGCCGTTCTTTGCTTGCAAGTAGATGTTGAAGTAGGCGTGCAGACACATCATGCAAGCGCGAATCTTGCTTCCCGACTCAAAAACCATCGTGTAAGCTCCATTTCCAAACATGATTACTCCAAATATAAACTCAATAATATTGCCGGTTGAACGAACGTAATAGACATAATCATCAAGTTTTTCCCATAGCACATTATAGTAGCCATCAATCATAAACAATATATAAACAGTGATAGAAACTATTACTTTCAGGCAAAGCTCTACACAGAAAGCCGTAACTGCAAACAGCCAGGTATTTAGTGCATAGTGGTGCCAGAGGATGTAACTGAGCAGAACTGGCAGGATGAAAAGGCAAGCGGAAACAAAGAGTACAGGGAAGTGTCTGCGGAAGGATGACACGTGGGAGGCACTGAGAGACATCAGCACGGGGTCTGTCATTCCGTGGATAAAATGCAGGACTGCGGTCAACAAAAGGCACATGTTTCGACTCAGGCGAACCAGTCGTTCCTCTGGTTTCAGTCCACTCAAACCAGTCTGCAGAGCCAGGATGAAAAACAAGACGGGTGCTACGAAACCCAGCCTTTTGTCGTCCTCATCAGTGGATCCGATGAAGGCCAAGATACCGAGTCCCAAATAATGCGCGATGGAGGAAATGACGGCACTCATGCCTAACACAGTTAAAGTAGAGTCACACCCACTTATGATCAAGCTGCAAATCAGCTCCCAACAGTTATCCCACGAGATCAAGAAGAATTTATCTTCTGTGTTCGTTTCAGCCATCTTTACAACATATGTTAATACCACAGCTTGTGCCGTGAGTCTCGTTAGCCAGAAGACACGCAGAACAGCCGGAAACCGAATCCTTTTCCACGTATCTTCCATCAATAGCTGTAATCCATAAATGCGATACATGTGTCTCACCAGCAGATAAACGTATCGCACCGAATAATAGAACCATTTCATTTTCGTAACTAAAATGGCTGTGGTATTTAATGTCAGAACTAGGCCAGAAATAAAAACTAGTATCTGCCGGACGTTTAAAGGTAATTCAATAACCAAGCCAATTACAGGAATCAGTATATCCAGGATGATGAGTTGAGAGTATATGGACTGCACGTTCAGCAACGTGACATATCCGATGCCGAAGGTGAGCTGAAGGATGGAAAGCGCCATCCATAGCGAAGGTCCTTTATGAGGGAAGATCTGAATTCCGAACGCAGCTGTGTAGTAGGCACTGTGGAAGTTTATGTGCAAAGCAGCATAGTAATTCACCAACACTGAAGTCGCAGCCAGCAGAAACGCCGAGGCGATCATATAAAACTTGAAAAGTGCTCGCTGTTGTAAGACCAGAACAACACTGGATACAAAGACACCTAAAAACAGATTGAAATCATTTAGTTCTCAGCAGAAATTCAACAATAGATATTAACTTACTAGCTTTGGAGCTACGTTTTTTAATGTATCACTTCCCAATTAGTCACTCCTAACTTTACATTACCAATGGTGCCCTTGTCAGACTTAATCTCTGCATGGAATACACGCGTGCGCTGCAGCTGCAAGGCAAAGCCAAGGCAAGCATTAAGTCACAATTACTGTTCGGTTCACCTGCAGCTCCAGACTAGAGCAGGGACAACTCCCAGCCTTTCAGCCTTAGTCTTGAAATCTAAGGGTAGACAAGTTCTAAAAGCAGAAAAGAATCATCAGATGTAGCATCATCTTTATAGGCCAAGTTAATAAGGAATAAATGAGTAAAATTTACTGAGTCCCTTAATTCACTTGAGCAAAGCCCTCAACTACAGATGTCTAAGCTGGAGCACTAAAGGTAACACTTGCCAAAACAGTTTAGCTAAACCTTTAATGGGATAACAGTAAAAAATTGCTGTAGTTTACTGGGGAGAGAGCATTCTTCTTCCAATTCCCCTCAGTTTGCTCTTATTTCTGGTAAGGCATTCTGAAACAGAAGTCTGGTGGAGAAGACCTTCCGCCACGTAAAGCTTTTGTACACAGAATCTAAACCCACACCAATCCCCTCTTTGCCAACGCCGCTGCGAACCGGCATCTGTTTTGTTAGACATGGGATTTAGATCTTGAAATTCCTGTTTGCTAACCTTTCCCTCACACTGACCATCAACACAGCTTGACCACGACTGGAAAGCCTGCACATTCCTGTGAGAAATCCTATCACAGCATCTGTCAGACCTTGGCATTACATTTATGACCTTGTAGTAAACTCCTCTAGTAGTTTAGCTTATGCATTTCATCACTCTATAATACGTAAGGGCTCTGTCCTAACAGATTTTAAATTAAATGGCACTTACCACGAGATTCACCTCCTTAAACATTTTTTTCTTCAGGAAACACACTGCCTTTGTTTTGGGCTTCTCAATCAGCTTCCTGTCTATGCAACCGCTTTCTCATCCAAACCAGTTTGGAGAGATTTCCATCTCTACAACTTGTATTTGATCATAAGTTGCTTTCAATCTCTGTACTAAATCTAATGAAATCACAAGTAATCCTCTTTCGACTGGAGGATAGCATCGGTCTTTTCTGACGATTGTATTTTAGATTGTTCCAAATCCCCCATAATAGCGTTTACAAAAATAAATATTTTAAGCCATGGTATCTTGATCATGGGAATAAAAAAAGAACTTTGCTAAGAGCTAGCATTTGATTCCACCAGGAGTGTTGCCAGCTGCTTGTATCAGAAAAAAAACCACCAACCACCCAAACCAAAAACCCACAAAAAACCCCACCCCAGAGGACTGAGTAAGAAGGTAGAGGGTCAACATGAATCAATAGCAAAAGGCAGACTAGAAAAAATAAAGTTATTAATACACCTTAACAGTGTTCCTTGCCAGCAGCACTGGCTGATATAAAAACATTCTTAACTAATCATTAACTCAGTAACCTTGTGAAGTGCTCTGAGGAAAAGCCTCCATCAGTTTTCAGGAAGTGCCTTATATCACAGCTCAGTTCTTCCATGAAAAGCATTTTTTTTTTTAACATAAGCATGACAATTTATTTGCCATTTCATACCTACCACCATGAACGCCTGTGGGAAAGCCAACATTGTGGATAAGTTTGTACCCTTTGTCCTTTCTCACAAGTCACAGAAATGGCTCAAATGCCCGTAACAAGCTCATTCTTTACATAATTCTGATCACTTGAGCCAAATGAGATGCACTTTGCAATACGCAGGCTGCTCTAAAACATGCCTGTTAACAAAACCTATTTTCCTTCCTTGCAGTTGCAGTAACAGGCCTGTATTTAGATACTCCAGGTCATCCTAAACCACTGATGTTTCATATCAAGACACATCCCTAAAAGCAGCCCTACAATGAGTCAATAGAGAAGCCAGAACTACTGGTTCCTCTAAAGAGGGACTAACAACAGGTACAGCATTTCTTTGTCAGCACAAGTGTGGAAAAGTCAAGATCCCCCAACAGGAACCTCCAACTACTACAGGAGGTAACTCAGATCTTGAAAGGGGAGGTGAGCGCTCCTCTGCATTGACATTCTTCAGTCCATCTTGCCACAAGGAGACTTCCTGTTGCCCTACAAAGCGTTCACTGACCAGTAAATCTTCTCACATTTTCCCTCTGACAGGAAATGCAGCAGTTCTTCCTTTGAGAAGATGTATCTCACATGTCTGTATATATTGCTGCTCACCTTTACTGTTCCTGCCTATGCCACCCCACCACCAACTGTCTCCAGTGTGGCCTCCAAACACAGCATTTAATCAAACCATACACATTCACTTGTAAAATAATTTCTTGTGGTACAATGAATCCCTCCCTCTCATTTTTTCCTTTAATTCCTGGAATTTGTCAGTATCTATAGTAGCACACTACCTAGAATTTGCCTTTCAGTCAGCTGCAGGGTTCAATCACCTTTACACGTTAAGTATTTTAATCACATAGAATTGCCAAACTACTTTTTTACCCTAGCACCAGCCATTCTACTTGGTTCCACATCTTTCTACAAACTACAGTATTTAAAATAACCCTCTCAAAAATCAGGGTCCCTGCCGAGGAGGGACTGGTGTCTGAAGTAACAGTTTCACACTCCTGGGGGTGGTGGTTCTGCTTGAACCCTGACACTTTAAAAAAATAAACATGCAACGAAACGAAAGGTGTTGGACACGAAGGCTAATTAAAAAGATTAAAGAAAATTTGCGCTCCAGTTGTAGAACTGGGTTCCGTGCTGCGTGTAACGCTATGTACTTGTACAGAAAATAAGTGATGGAAGAACCAGATGGAGGAATCCTGCAGTAAAACTTTTTAAAAATCATACAGCTCTTTATTAGCATTCTTGAGGAACTGTACTTGCAAAATATTTCAGAACAGTTCAACATGACCCCGAAAGCTATCAAATCTCTCCAGAGCAGCAGTCTTTCTATCTAGAGGATAAGTTGTGTGTTTATCCTATGCTAAACAGTATTGCGCTACAGGAAAAATTAGGATCAGTCTTTCAAAGCCTGCAAATGGTAACTAAAACTTCTTCACCATTTAAATAGAGAATGATCCAAACAAAATATTTCAGTTTATCCTAACAACAGCAAACACCCAACCCTGTAATCCTTAAATTCAGATGAGGAAAAAATAGATACAAAAGCACTCTGTTGTCTGAACCATGCGGAAGGTCTTAAACATAATCTTTGACTGGTTACATTTTAATTTTTCTTTGATTTTGTAAAGCCAAGAACCACAGACCACTTGTCTCAAAGTACATGATAACTCTCTTGGCATAAACTGTTCCCAAAGCTCTTTTGCAGGAGGCAGGAGAGGGATTACCCATTTCTTCCCCCAGACTCTTCCAGAAAAGTGATCATATAAATGTAATTCTGAAAAGTGCCTTAATCTGTTAATTCCATGCTTAAGAGAGATCATCGAATAACAAACACATGGACCATTCTTGTTTATGTGGGATTAACTTCAAGGCACTTCCTACAGCGTCTGGATCACATAATGAAGGACTCCTAAAATTAAGCTGGTGAGGCACTACAATTATCACTTTTTTTAAAAAAAGAATTAGCAGAAAGCACTCTTAGCAACTCCATAGTATGGAACAGAGGGTCAAGAAAATGGGAAATATGGAGGAGAACGCCTGCACCCTGTGCCAGAGCTGTTGGTACCAGCTGCAAGACCAGGACCTCCTCAGCCTCCCTTCTCCCAGGAGCTGCGACTTCCCCAAAGGAGAAGCAGCCCACACAAAGTACCTGCTTTATCTCTTCTCTCCCCTCTCAGCTGCTGTCTTGCTACAGCTTCACCTTTACTTTTCTGTAAAGAAGTTCCTCAACTTCTTCAGTGGCATCCCCACCATGTACCTTTCATTTGAACTGCTCTTCTCAGCTTCCTACCTCAACAGCCATACCACCTATTTCCTTCCTATTTTTTCCTACTATAAACATCAAAGAAAACACAAAATCAACATGTCACAGGCCTGCAGAAAACTCTTGCTGTATTTTTAGGTTCTCCTTTCCTTCCTGCCTGAGCATTTCCAGCTCCAAGATGGGAATATCCCCTGTACAGCAGTTAGCAGAACAGGGCTACGTAAGAACCCACGATTACAAGCAATGCTGAAAATAGTATCACCTAGTTATACCAGCGATTTTCAACCTTCATCCCAGCGAAGAAAAAAAAGCTTAAAAATAACCAACGGCAAGTTTCAAGAGACTTCTCTTTCATTTGGGAATCCAATTCCCAGCCTTTTTAAACTGCTGTAACCTCAAGTAAGGCTTTAACAGGCAGACATCACACTATCCAAAGTGCTTTTGAAAAAAAAAAAAAAAAAAAAAAACCAAAAATAACAAAAAGAAATATTAGTTGTGGCACCCCCTCACTTTAAAGATTTTCCCTATGCTGGAAAATAAGTTTCTGCACCATTTCATTGGGCTGGAATTTATGGCCCACAAAAAAAAAAAAAAAAACAAACAACCAAAATATACAAAAACCCCCACAACATAAAACGATCTACAGCCGCTAAGTCACATGCTTTCCGCCGAGGAGGGGGCTCAGCCCCGAGTCCCGGCGCACATGGCGAGCGGCGTCCGCCCCGCCACCGCCAGGCCCCGCTCTGCCGGCTCCCCCCGGGTCACACCGCCACGGCCGGCAACCGCAGGCAGCCGGGGTTGGAAGCGGTGCGGGGGGACGGGGACACCGAGCGCCGCGGCTGGCGGGAGGGGAGGGAGGTGACCCACCCCAGGGCGGCACACAGCAGGAAAGGACCGAGAGGAGGGAAGAGGGGGAGCAGAGAGGCAGGCCGCGACAGCAGCCGGCGGGCTGAGGGGACGAGGGAGAGAAGCGGCGGCCCGGCCCCGCCTGCGGCTGTAAACAAGGCCCGAGGAGGGGCGGGGGTGCCGGGGGCCGGGGAAGGGAGGGCGGCGGGGGAAGGTGTCTCACCCAGCAGCCGCAGCAGCACGCCCAGCAGCGCGGCGCTCAGGGAACCCCCCGGCAGCGGGGACGAGTTGAAGATGGCGTCGATGAGGAACAGGCTGGGCACCCGCAGCGCGACCTCCAGCCCGGCCCGCAGCCGCGGG